GTCCCCTGCACGGAGATGGGGCCCTGCCCTGACCAGGAGCATCAAAGTCTGCAAATCTGTGCCTCCACCTCCCCATCCGGAGCCTCACCTGGGAGCTGGGCTTCTGGGAATGTGTCTGACCCAGAGGAGCGGACGCTGTGGCCCCGCATGGCCTGGTACGTGCCCCTGCTGTGCTCACGTCCCTGCCCAAGCCGGTGCCCCCTCCCCACACTCTTTGGTCCCTAATTAACTGTGCCCGTGGCCCGGGTCTATGTGCCTTCTGCCTGGATGCCGTGACCCCTCCCAGGTCTGGAACCCTTATCTGGACTGGGCAGCCTCAGCCTCAATTTAATATATACATATAATTTAAATATATATATAATTGCTTTCAGAGAGGAAGGGAGTGGGAGAGATAGAAACATCAATGATGAGAGAGAATCATTGATTGGCCGCCTCCTGCAAGCCCCCTGTTTGTTTTCTATTGCTGTGTAACAAATTACCAAAAACGAAGCAGCTTAAACCAATACCATTTATTATCCCTAATTTTTTTTCTACATGAAAAACCACTTGTCCCAGCACCACTATTGCAGAGTCTGTCATTTCTCCACAGATCTGTGATGTTAACTCTTGTTTCATATCAAGTTTACATTCATGGTCAGGTCTGTTTCTAGGCTCTGTTTTCTCTTCCTTTGTTCTGTTCTATCCCTAGCCTACTACCTGACTAATTTAATAGTAAGGGTTGAGAGCTGGTAGGGCAAGTCCTGTACTTATTCTTTTTCTTCAGGAGTATCTTTTTGTTTTTGCAGTTGGCACTTTCATATATATATATTTTTTAATTTCAGAAAGGAAGGGAGAGAGAGATAGAAACATCAATGATGGGAGAGAATCATTGATTGGCTGCCTCCTGCACACTCCCCACTGGGGATCGAGCTCACAACCAGGGCATGTGCCCTTGACCGGAATCGAACCTGGGACCCTTCAAGTCCACAGGCGGACGCTCTATCCACTGAGCCAAACCGGCTAGGGCTGCGCAGCCTCCGTTTAGATTAGGAGGCCTCTGCCCAGCTCTGTACCCCTGTCCAGATAAGTGACACCTCGTACCCCACTGAATGCCCCTGGCCTGGGCTCTCGGCACCCCCGATCCTCGGCCCCTGCTCCTTACTGTTCTTAAGCTCATCCACCATCTTGACCTTGAAGCCGCACTCCTCGCACGTGCGCCCCTTCTTCTCGCCTGTGCCCCAGGCCTGGCACTGCACGCAGGAGCGCAGGTCCTCGCAGAGGCCCAGACGGACCTGGGTGGGAGGGAGGGGCCGGTGAACACTGTGCTGGGCAGGCCTCTGCCAGGCCCACTCCCCCAGCCTCGCACCCTCGCCCGGCTCCCGCAGCACCAGGCTCAGCCCCTCCTGCCCACCCTGCCCTGTGCCCAGGGTCCCCATGCCACCCCCCAGCGATCCTGGCCTCACCGCCGAGTAGTTGATCTCGCAGGTGGTGTCTGTGTAGAGGGACTGCTGGTTGCAGTGGCACCGGCCACACTCGCAGTGACCACGCCCATTGCAGACGCCCTGAGGCGAGAGGAGGCACCGGTGAGCCCTCTGCACCCCTACCCCTGCCTGAGGGGGTGGGTGGTCCTGACCGGACCCCCGTCTGCCGCCCCACACTGCCTGCCCCAGGGCCAGGCCTACCCCATTGCTGTCGATGCAGGTGGCATTGCTGAGAGGGCAGTCACAGCTCAAGCCTGTCCAGCCGGGCTCGCACTCACACCGGCCCATGGAGCAGCGTCCCCGGTCTGCAGAGAGGAGGCGGGAGGGCCCATTCACACCTGCAGTCCTGGTGGCCCCCCTGCCGGGGAGGGCCTGGGGGAGCTGAGCTCAGGGCTAGAGCCATCTCTCCCTCACTTTCTTCGAAAATCTTCCCTCCATCTGTTCCCCTCCATCCCACCTTCCACTTTCCACTCTGCAGCCAGAGTGGCCACCCCACAACACAAACCCAATCCTGTGGCTCCCCTGTTTAAGAACCTCTATTGAGTCTTGGCCAATGCAATCAGGTAAGAAAAGGGAATAAAACGTATCAGTATTGGGAAGTAAGAAATAAAACTGTCATTACTTCCAAGTGTCAGGAACCTGTCACAAAATATCAAGAGTGTACAGATAAATTATTAGATCTCATTAAGTGGGTTGAGCAAGGTGCCTGGCTACAAGGTTAACATACAAATAGCTAGAAAGTGAAAACAAAACCTCCAGTGCCTCTCTTCTGCCCTCAGGATAAAGTCCAGCAGCCTTCTGATAGAATAAAGGTTGACTGATTGTGGCCTGTAGGCCACCCCACCTCACTACCTGTTTCTGCGAGTTTCATGGGAACACAGCCCCGCCCACAGCGGCTTTCTGCTACAGCAGCAGAGATGGGTAGTTGTGCCAGAGACCGTGTGGCTCACAAAGCTGAAAATTATTGTCTGAGCCTTTAAGGAAAGGTTTGGCCCAGGGGAATGGCTCGGTGGTTGAGCATCGACCTATGAACCAGGAGGTCACAGTTCAATTCCCGGTCAAGGCACATGCCCGGGTTGCGGGCTCGATCCCCAGTGTGCGACGTGCAGGAGGAGGCAGCCGATCAATGATTCTCTCTCATCATCGATGTTTCTGTCTCTCTCTCTTCTTCTCCCTTCCTCTCTGAAATCAATAAGAATATTTAAAAAATATATTTAAAAAATATATATGTGTATAGATATTAAAAAAAGGAAAGCATTTGGACTAGACTAGACCCGGGCCCACCTTGCGCTCTGGCCTCGCCTCCTTCCCTGCAGCGCCCCCCTCCCCTCTCCCTCCCAGCTCTGCCCTCCTCCAGATGAACTGGTTCCCCCTTCGTTTCCCTGGACGCATCTGGGATGGACGGCGGGAGAAGAGAGATGTCAGGCAACAGCAGGAATGGACGAAAGGGTAGGAGAGCAGGGGCTCCACCCTCAGCGGCAGGCGTGCAGTTGGGGCTTAACAGGAACGTGATGAGTGGATTTTCATTCACCCTCCTCCGTGCAACCGTTCCGTCCTTCCACGTGGCACCTATCTGGGTTCTGTGACCCCGCCCGGCTGGGAAGCGTGGGCCAGGCTGTGTGCCCGCGGCCTTGGCCACGGCGTGACTGATTGTGGCCTGTAGGCCACCCCACCTCACTGTTAGCCTCACTGATGGGCTAGAGCCATCTCTTCCTCACTTTCTTCGAAAGTGCGCCGTAGCACACTCTTGATATTTTGTGACAGGTTCCTGACACTTGGAAGTAATGACAGTTTTATTTCTTACGAAGTGAGATGGGGTGGGGACTGTACGCGGAGGCTGTAACTCCAGGCGTGCCCGCTAGAAACGTAGCATCTCTGAGCGAGGAACGATCGCCAGGCCACAGTATCCCAGTAACCGCGAGGGTTGAGCTGGGCGATACCCACCATAATGAGATGGGAGGGTGGAGACAGGAGGTGGGCACGGACTGGGGGACCTCAGGGAAATGGGGGTCTTAAACGTCCCACTGGCCTTGGGCATCAAGTTCGTAGAAGGGGTAGAGGTCCAGGTTGGTGCTGGACTTGCAGGGAGGAGGCACTCAGGGAGCCCGGAGGAGGGCTGGGTCCGAACTTGGGATTCGAACTCTCAGCCTGGCTCTCACAACCTGTCTTGATGGGGGAGCGGCAGGGCAGGGCAGGGGCTGGCACCCGGGCCACCGGCACCGGCCGCTGAGCTCACCGTTGCAAAGGAACCCGGAGGTGCGTGGGCACTGGAAGTTGTCGTACTCGCAGAACTGGCCCTCGTAGCGGCCTTCGCCGTAGCACACGCAGCGCCCGCACTGGCACTCGCCGTGCCCGGAGCACGGCTTGTCCTCTCCCTCCCGCAGGCAGGGCTGGATGTCACTCAGCGAGCCCGTGGAGCAGCTGCAGGTCTTGCCACTCCTGAGGGAGGAGCCAGTCACTTCCCACAGCCGGGGACCAGGCTGGGCCTTTCACCCTCCCATTTTACAGATGAGAAAACTGAGGCTCTGAGCAGAAACATTTCTTTCCAGCTGCATCCTATATATCTAAGTAGCTCAAAGTGCTTTGAACGGGCCGCACCTAACAACCAGGTGCCCTCTCCTAGTCAGGCACAGACGGGGGCCCAGGGTGAGGGCCCGCTGGCACGCTGGGCACTGCACACTCACCAGCCCTCGTAGCACACACAGTGTCCGCACATGAAGTCTCCGTTGCCGCTGCACTGAGGCGAGCCCACCTCTTTTTGCTAGAATGAGAACACGTCGGGTGTATGGGGGGCGGGCAGGACCACTGGACGCTCCTGCTGCC